TACTACTACTGCTGCTGCTGCTGCTGCTGCTGCTGCTGCTGCTGTTGCTGCTGCTGCTGCTGCTGCTGCTACTGCTCCTACTACTACTACTACTACTACTGCTGCTGCTGCTGCAACAGCTGCTGCTGCTGCTGCTGCTGCTGCTGCTGCTGCTGCTGCTTACAGCCATGAGTTTGTTGACGTCTAGGCCTTCTCTGCGTCCATCTTCTACAAACTCAGCCCATCCGGGGCAGACATTCAGATCGCTGTTCGCCTGCATTAGCTGCTGCTGCTGCTGCTGCTGCTGCTGCTGCATATGTTGCTGCTGCTGCATATGCGGCTGCTGCTGCTGCATATGGGGCTGCTGCTGCTGCATATGGGGCTGCTGCATATGCGGCTGCTGCTGCATATGTGGCTGCTGCTGCATATGTGGCTGCTGCTGTATATGTTGCTGCTGCTGCTGCATGTGTGGCTGCTGCATATGCTGCTGCTGCATATGCTGCTGCTGCATATGCTGCTGCTGCATAGGCTGCTGCATTGGCTGCTGCTGCTGCTGCATCGTCTGCGGCTGCTGCAAATGCTGCTGTTGCTGCAGCACTGGTTGCTGCTGCATAAGCTGCTGCGGCTGCATAAGTTGCTGCTGCTGCTGCACAGGCTGCTGCTGCGGCATAGGCTGCTGCTGCTGCATGGGTTGCTGCTGCTGGGGGGTTGATTGCTGCTGCAGAGGCTCATGCTGCTGCTGCATGGGTTGATGCTGCTGCAGCAGTTGCTGCTGCTGCGGTTGCTGCTGTTGCTGCTGCTGCACGGTCTGCGACTGAACGGGTACCACCATGGGGTGCGCGGCGTGCTGTTGCATGCGTAGAGCTTGCTGCTGCTGCTGCTGCTGCTGCTGCTGCTGCAGCAAGAAAGGATGAGCAGCAACAACAGGCACCGGGTGCAGCAGCAACCCCTGGGGCCCTATGATAGCAGCAGGCATCGACACAGGCACATAACCAGCGGGGGCTTGATGGAGCATGCGTGCTGTTTGCTGCTGCTGCAGAAGTTGCTGCTGCTGTTGCTGCTGCTGCTGCTGCGGCTGCTGCTGCTGTAAGTGCTGCTGTGAATGCAGCATCTGCGGAGGAGGCTTCATATGCTGCTGCTGCTGTTGCTGTTGCTGCTGCTGCTGCTGCTGCTGGGGTTGCAGCTGTAGAGGCTGCTGCTGCTGTTCGGGCTCCCGCGAGAGGGCAGATGTCTCCTCGTGGGGAGGTGTTGGGGTTTGCTGCTGCAGCAGCAGTTGCTGCTGCTGCTGCTGCTGCTGCTGCTGCTGCTGGTGATGTTGCTGCTGCGGGGGTGGAGGGGGCGGGGGCGGTGGTGTCGGCAGCCCTGGGGTTTCTTGCTGCTGCAGAACGCTTGCTACCGTTGGTTGCTGCTGCGGCTGCTGCTGCTGCTGCTGCAGCTGTTGTTGCTGCTGTAGCTGTTGTTGCTGCTGCAGCTGCTGCTGTTGTTGCAGCTGCTGTTGCTGCTGCATCTGCTGTTGCTGCTGCAGCTGCTGCTGTTGGATCTGCTGCTGCTGTATTTGTTGTTGCTGCAGTTGCTGTGTCTGCGGCGAGAGTTTTTGCTGTTCCCCAACTTGTTGCTGTTGCTGCTGCTGCTGCTGTTGCTGCTGCTGCTGTTGCTGCTGCTGCTGCTGCTGCTGCTGCTGCTCCCTATTAAGCCTTGTGAGGCCCCCAGGTACTGCTGCCTCAAAGGCATCGACGTGCTTGCTGGGGGCCCTGCTGCTCCCCTTTGCTCTGCTGCGGAAAGGGTCAGCAGCAGAACGACCCCCAAGGAGACAGCTGGAGGAGAAGGGGAGACGGGGGCCCCCGGGGCCCCCAAAGGAGACACCCCGCGAGGCCCACGAGGCCTCAGAAGGAGACGGTACCTCTCCCTTTGGCTGCAGCAATAACATTTACATAAAAAAAAAAAAAAAATATATATATATA